CAATGTTAGGTACTCAAGCCCAAGGGAAGAGCCCAACCCAAAAGACTAGTCCAATAGGTGGGAGGACCCCAAGGACTTAAGAACACCTACACCCCCATAAGTGTAGTCGATGTGGGATCATAACAATCTTAATGCCCCGAAAGTGGACTCAACTACTTTAGTTTCATATTTCCATAAATCTCATATTTTTCCAATTTGGGACTCCAACAAATGATCATGTAATGATCACAATTATTCAATTCCGCTTATACTTTCCCAATGATTCCACAATGTCTGACACAGTTATTGTTCATGATATGATAATTATGAAACAATATTTAATGACATTTCAAATTCACAATATTCTTCAAGAAATATCAACCAAAAGCAAACTCATAAGCATTTGAATCATGTTATCAAGTAGTCACGCAATTGCACCAATTAACATAAATCACACAACTATTTATAAGAAGCCAAGTAATATATATGTATAAGGGTTCCCCGAGAATTTCCCCTACCTCATTTTCAACAAGCCTTGCTAATTTTCTTTAGTCAGGAGCTCTAGCACTTCATCCAAGTCTAAACTCGAACACCAAATTTCATAAAATAGAACAAAACCACATCGACTAAAAATCAACATCTTCCAACATAAATAAGAAGAACATAATTAAAATAAGATTCGTTGAATCAAAATAATGAATATAATACCTTAAACAGTGAAACAACTTCATCCCTTCAAACTAAAAATCCTCTTCTTCTCTCTGAACCTTCATTTTCTCTAACTTTCTGATAATTGTTTCCAACCCAAAGGCGGAGTTCAACCCTCTGCCTTTCTGAAGTTTTCCTTTTTCTCATCTCCATCTGAAGAATACAAATGCCAACACCACCAAAACCTAGGCCTTCAAACTCTTTGAAGCTAGGCTCCACCTCCGGCTTTCTAGACTATAGATTGCTCCCAAGCTTTGCAACTCTCCTCTCTCAAGAAAGATTGGATGAACTTCAATCTGAAGCAATAAAGTTTCTTTGCTTTCATGCCTAAGGTTTTCTCACGGCAAAAGCTTCATGGCTCCTTTTTTTTTTTTAACTTAATCTAACCAAATATAAAAACAAATAAAAAGAAAATTCATAATAATTCCAAAGTAACTAATTATAAATTGAAATAATAATAAAACCAATTAATCAAATACTAATAACTAGCATAAAATAAAAACTAATAATGCCCACCCCAAGAATGCTTGAAAATTATTGCAAGGTTGACTACAATTACGCATGTTGAGTTAATAAGAGATGTCAAACTTCATATTATCTTGTAGCAGTTCTGATCAATTCATTGCCTGAGGCAGTTAATTTAGAATTAAAAATCCTATCCATTGTTACTACCATTTCACCCAAAGTTGCTAATGGCTGTAGGTTTTTTTAACCAAGTAACACCAGATAGTTTTCCTCTAAGCCAAAGTGACCAAAATTTTCTCTATATTTTTTTATGAGATGATGAAATACCAAATAAACCTAAAATGGATATAAATAGAAATATAAAAAGGAAAAGAAATCCATTTTGATATATCTATAATGAATGAAATGACCTAGTCAAAATATTCCGTTGAATCCTATTTCTATCAATTATTTCCTCCCTAGATTGGTAAGAGATAAATATTAAAACTTTTAGCCCTTAGTTTAAGTTCCTGGTCTAAACTGTTGAAAGCTCCTAACATAAAAGCTGAATGTACCAAAAACAGAACCACATAACCAAGAAAATAGAAAACTCAATGTAAGTATGCGCAGTGAATTCCGTATGTAGACTCACACTAACATTAACAATACCAAACTTGAGTCACTGAAGTAGAGCAAGGTTATTAAAATTGTGATGGCAGAAACAAATTATGAATGGAAAGGTTAATGTCTACAAATTGGAGAACATTTGAAAGAAATGTAAGAAAAGAATTTGTGCCTCCAAATACTAATGCTTCCCCATAACCTAGAATTTAAAATTACAATTTTGTGCCATTGGTATGTGAAAAACTCAAGTGGCAGGCAGCAACAATGGTAATAGATAACAATTCTAAATTTAAGAATAGAAAATGGGTGATAATTAGCCCAGAAACAAATCAAAATATATGACAACTGATGAGTAGATTTTATATTATATATTTTACCCTAATCTTAGTATATTTTGGTTAATATATTGGAAGAATTTTGATACTTTGAATTGTATTTTCAATATAGGACTTTCGACTTGCTCTGGAGCAAAACAAGACCAAATGGACGAATTTTGGAGTAATTCCAGTTGGAGGACGTTCGTGAGTCACTTAGCTTGATCGTATTAAAATTTGGGATTTTTCCACCAAGCGGTTATTTTCTGGCGATGAAATAAAGAAGCAGTGCGCAGTGCTGGAAAATGACGTTTTTGGGCTTAAATGACGTTTTTGGAGCCCAAGATAACCTCGGATGGGTTCGTGGCCTTCTGGAAAAGTGTTCAGAATATTCCAAACATTAAATCTAGCTGTATTGGGCCAGTTTTGGAGCAGCTTATGGGCCAAAACGTGGCTGTTCAGATTTTAGACGAATTTTACTATTTTTATTTAGGGTTTTTATTAATTTTAGTTGGCTAGGGTTTGTGTGGTGGCTTAGCAAATATATTGCTTGGCCGTCTACAGTTTTAGATTACGCTTTATTTTATGCAATATTGGAGACAGAGAGAAGTGCTAGGGTTTTGAAGATTTTCTACTTGAAGGTGTTTTCAATCCTTTTCTTAATAGATATTTCTATGATTTCAATTATGAATATGCGGAACTAATTTCTATTGCTAGGGCGAAGCCTTGAGCCTTAGCATGAATATGTGATTTTTATCTAATTGCTTATGATTGATTGCATGCATACTTTGAATTGTTAATCACCGAGATAAAAACTATCTAATTGTCTTAATGCCTGATCACCATTAGGATCTTTAGAAAAGTAATTTGATGCAATTTTGGTCGGAAGGTTCCCTGAAATTGACGCTGGCTTCTTGTGATTAATAATTGTAATTTCACTTAGGATGAATATCACGTCTTAAGGATTGCATGGTTTTTCAAAGGATTTTCATAAAGCATAATGAGTCTTTCATGTTCAGATTTGATCCGAACGGGTTGCATGTTAGATATACGTTCTATGTTGGAGGTTCCAAGTAGAATATGAATTAGGAAAATCTAACCTTCAAAGTAGCATGTATAGATCATAAGTAATGGGTAAAAATTCATAGGATTGCTAGGTGATGGTGGAACCCTAGTGCTTTCTTAATTTGATTTTCTCGGAACTGTTTTCTTCTCTCTAGTCCTAATATTGCAGATTGTTTATTTTAATTCATTAATTTCGTTTTTATTTTAATTAGGTTGTAAAATCAATCACTTCAATTTCTACTTTACAATAATTAAATGGAATCTGATTAGTTCGAATTATTTAATAATTCCTGTGGAGACGACCTTGCGAGATCCGTTTATACTACAATAACCTTGTGATTCTTGCAAGTAAAATAGGAGATTTAAGCCCGTTCACATGAGTAGTAAAAATCCTATCAACAACCTAACGAAAAGGTTGCAAATTTTTTGCATTCAAAGGCAGATATCCCCTAAAATAACATCTAATATCCTAAATCACATAAAATCCAAAAAACGACAACCCAAATACATTTTAAACATTTATATCACAATTCACCAACCAAAATCTAGTGATTCATCCAGTAAACAGAGAATCATACCGTGAAAGCCTTTTGTTGGAGTTGTGGCTACAACTTGGTCTGTGTTATGGTAGGAACTTGGTGGCTGCAACTATAACTGTAAAACCCAGATAAAAACAGTTTACCAAGAGACCAAATAAGATGAATTTAGAGAAGGGATTTGTTGGCCGGACCTGCAAATTTGCACCAAAAACAAATTTTTCCAAGCAAATTTAAAAAATATAAAAAAAAGGAACCCAGAAAACATTTCACAAATTGAACAAATGGGTAATGCTCAGATAGACAAACCTAAGATCAAGATCATTTCTTTTCAGCACCGAATTTCTCAAAAATCCCAAAAAAAAAAATATCACCAAAAAAAAGGGAGGGAGAGAGAGAACGTCTTTTATGCGAGAGAGATTGAGCTGAAGGCAATGGTTGAGTCTCTGCAAGCATGGCCTTGTTCCTTAAATTCCGCCATCTTCTCTCTGCCCTCTCTCTCCCCCTCCCTCACTCAATCGAATCAATGGAAAGCCCACTCATCCTCACCAAATCCCTCACTCAATCAGGTCAGTGACAACCCCCCTCAATTTCCCCTCTCACCTTCTGCAACACTACTACAATCCTCACCCACTCCCATAATCTCATCTTAACCAGACACGCCCCCCCCCAATCGTGAATGACCAAAAGACCCATGTCATTTTCCAATCTGTCCGTTGGATTTGGAATGTAAAGAAGGCAAAAACGACATTTGACCTTTTACGGCTTGAACCTTTTCAATAGGTTGTGTCAACCCAAAAAAAAAAAAGCCCAACCCGGGTTAAGCACAGCCCACACACACACAATGGCACAATTGTTATTAACTCGAAATCAAAGTTCACTTTCATAGGCAAGATGAATAGTGCAATTTCTTCCCTACTTTGGACTAGTAACTAGATAATAAGCCCGCGCGTTGCAGCGGTAACCCACTGTCATAAATGAACAAAGGGACACATGAGTGAATGAAGTTGATAAGATAAGCAGCTTGGCTTTTATATACATTCAACTGAGCATGTTAAAGGGGCAGTTAAACTGATTGAAATAAAAACAGTCACAACACATGACATGATTAAATGGACCACTGCGTTATCTGTAAGTTAAGTTGTGGCCCATAAAACATAAACACTTTCCAATTCATAACAAAATAGATTTTGATTCAAGTATACCTTGTATGACACTGAATAAGTTCCTGCTGATTTTCTCCATCCATCTAGCCTATGAGAATTAGAAGTACAAACCTGAACTATAGAGCTTCGTTCACCAGAATCACTTCCCATTCCTAAAATTAGGCAAATTCCAACAATAACAACAAAAAACCTCTAGATTTCACTTTCACTTAATCATAGGCATCTACTAATCCGTAACAAATGGAGAAATAAGCAGAAATCACCTTGAGACAACACAGAGTCCATTGTTGCTGCCTCAGCAGCATCTTTAACGGGAAGAATACCAATTAAGTGAGGATCTCAAGTAAATTCACAACAGCACAAAACCCAACCAGCAACAATTTGTTCATGATATCTTAAAACACCAAATTTTGTCCCAAAAATAGGACATTTAATGCAGAAAGCTCAAAACTTTGCCTCCCAAAACTAACATTTGAGAGAGCATTGCACTTCTTATCTTTAAAAGCATGAATGGTGAACTAAATAAAATAATAAGAATCTACAATAAACTAAAGAAAAACACATTTTTTACAAACATTATTTGCACAAAAATTTGAACTGTATTGAGAAACTCACCATCTCACTTCTCACGAATGATGTATGATGATCAACCTATCACAAAAAAATGAAATCCAATTCAAAAAAAAAAAAAAAAAAAAAGAGCTTGAATATAGCAACCCTACTCTCTCTCTTATGGTCTAATATGTGAGGAAGTCGTAATCTAATCATGTTAATTCACCCTTTTAAACGCCACAATTTATCTAATAAAAAGAGAAATTGAAAGGAAAACAACACCTAGAACGCAAAGTATTGATCGAAAGCTCCCTCTACTGTCATTATTTGCCCAAACTCTGTGAATTAATCGAAAACAAAAGAAAACTCTCTAGAAACCATTTTCACCCATTTTGAACTAAATTAACCTCCTTTAGACAAGCTCATTTTTTTAACCAAATGTTAGATTCTCATTGACATATCTTAACCCGAAATGTCCACTTGGACTCCGAATCGAGCTGTGCTGGCCGACACCTGGAAGGTGACGAAGCCATAAAGTGTAGTGATATGGAAAATGTGAATAAATTTAAACCTAAAAGTGCCTAAATACAAGAGTGCGCTGTGAGTGGAAATTAACCAATTTCACACGTGATGTCAGAGCATTAGTATAATACAGTAGTGTGGATAAGGATTATACCCTCAGAGGTAGCCACCTATACTGAAATTCGCCAAGAATCCTCGTCGATAAGATAGTCCAGCTGCTAAAACCTGGAGGGGTGAAAAATAAGGGTGAATGGGCCTGAAAATAAAGTTTTATAAAAACCTTTCTGATAACATTGTAACCCCTCAACGTAAAAACCTTTTAGTGTGCAGGTTCTGTGTCTAATATGGCCCAACGCCTATTTGCTCGAACCCGCCAAGTTGAATCATTGGCGGCTGAAGTGATAAGTCTCAAACAGGAGATCAGAGGGCTCAAGCATGAGAATAAACAGTTGCACAGGCTCGCATATGACTATGCTACAAACATGAAGAGGAAGCTCGACCAGCTGCAGGAATCTGATGGTCAGATTTTACTTGATCATCAGAGGTTTGTGGGTTTGTTCCAAAGGCATTTATTGCCTTCGTCTTCTGGGGCTGTACCGCGTAATGAAGCTCCAAATGATCAACCTTCGGTGCTTCCTCCTTCTGGGGTTCTGCCTAGTACTGAGGCTCCGAATAATCACCCTTTGGTGCCTCCTCTTTCTGGGGCTCTGCCGACTGCTGAGACTTCTCCTGAGCAACCTTTGTGAAGGCTCCCTCTTGTTTGTTTATTTTGATTCATGTATATGTACATATTTGTAACTTATCGGAGATATCAATAAACAAGCTTTGCTTCATTTCAACGTATTGTGTTAAATACACCAAGGCCTTCTTCACTAAGTTCTTTGAATTTTTCCTTTTGTTGAAGCTTGTATGTTGAAGCTTTGTGAGTGAAGCATGTAGGTTGAGGTAGTGCTTCCTTAATTTCCTGAGTGAGGAAAACTTCTCGTTTGGAGACTTGAAAAATCCAAGTCACTGAGTGGTCGTGAGACTTCCGAGTATCAAGGTGCAGTAGCATATGGTAGGAGTCCCCCAAGTCTTCGGTCGAGGGAGTTGACGAATGAGGCATTTCCTTTCTAAGTGGTAGCCCAAAACTCCTTCATATATATTTGTTATGAAAGTTGTTAGGCCCAAAGAAGATGAGGCCTAGGCAATTTTTTTTTTCGAATTTTTTTTAAAATTTTTTTATTTGTTTTTTCGAATTTTCGAATTTTTGAATTTCTGAATTTTTGAATTTTCGAATTTCCGAAAAATATATATATATATATATATATATATTTTAAAGCTTTGTAGGTGAAGCTTTGAGGTTGAAGCTTTGTTGGGCACCATGAATTGATTTTGCTTCACACTATCTTGATCAAGATAGTGTGAAGCTTTTGTAGGTGAAACTTTTGTAGGTGAAGCTTTTATGTTGAAGTTTTGTAGGTGAAGCTTTTGTGGGTGAAGCTTTTGTGGGTCAAGCTTTTGTAGGTGAAGCTTTTGTGGGTCAAGCTTTTGTAGGTCAAGCTTTTGTGGGTCAAACTTTTATGGGTCAAGCTTTTGTGGGTCAAGCTTTTGTGGGTCAAGCTTTGTTGGGCACCATGAATTGATTTTGCTTCACACTATCTTGATCAAGATAGTGTAAAGCTTTTGTAGGTGAAGCTTTTGTGGGTCAAGCTTTTGTGGGTGAAGCTTTTGTGGGTCAAGCTTTTATGGGCCAAGCTTTTATGGGCCAAGCTTTTGTAGGTCAAGCTTTTATGGGCCAAGCTTTTGTGGGCCAAACTTTTGTAGGTCAAGCTTTGTTGGGCACCATGAATTGATTTTGCTTCACACTATCTTGATCAAGATAGTGTGAAGCTTTTGAGAATTTGTAGTTGTTCTCCATTGATGAAGCTTTTATTGGTGAAGCTTTTATTGGTGAAGCTTTTGTGTTGAAACTTTTGTGGGTGAATCTTTTGTGTTGAAGCTTTTGTAGGTGAAGCTTTGGAGTTGAAGCTTTGTTGAATTTCCCTTTTTTTTCTTCTTTTTTTTTTTTGGGAAACTAGAAATTTGAAAATGTGGGAGAGACAACATATACAAATTTTGCTTCCACACTGTTGAGCAAGAGATTATGATGCAAGCCACACCTTGTAGTAGTTGAAGGTTTGGATGAACCATATAAATTGAATTTGTTTCGAACAGTCTTGAATTTGCTTCGAAGGTTTGAAGATTGTAGTTGCCCTCCATTGATGAAGCTTTTGTTGACACCATAAATTGATTTTGCTTCACACTGTCTTGATCAAGAGTGTGTGAAGCTTTTGAGAATTGTGGTTGAACTCATTTGATGAAGCTTTTGTTGGCACCATAAATTGGTTTTGCTTCACACTGTCTTGATCAAGAGTGTGTGAAGCTTTTGAGAATTGTGGTTGCCCTCCATTGATGAAGCTCTTGTTGGCACCATAAATTGGTTTTGCTTCACACTGTCTTGATCAAGAGTGTGTGAAGCTTTTGAGAATTATGGTTGAATTCCTTTGATGAAGCTCTTGTTTGCACCATAAATTGGTTTTGCTTCACACTGTTTTGATCAAGAGTGTGTGATAAGCTCATATTTATATATATTTTACATAAAATTCACTTAGTCTTTTCTCAGTTAGTTCCTTATATTTTTGAGCTATTTACTATGTTTTTGTGTTTTGTGTGATTTATCAAGCAAAGAAAAGAAAAGTAGCACAAGTGAGTTATTAAGTAACAAATTCGTCAAAACTGCCTGTGCAGATTAGCTGACTTTGGAAGCATGTTACGAACAGCTCAGAATGAATGAGAGAATGAGCCTTATATTCTTGGAAAGCTACGGATGTCTATTTTCTGGAGCAATTTACGGATTGTTAATATCATTTTTCTAGAAGAAGTTATGGGAATTGTAACACTGAAAGGTTCAGAAAAGGGCTAAGCAGATTTGGCTAATAAAGTGAGAAAGTAAAGGCACTTGATCCATCAAAAGAGCTTAATTCACAAACACAATTTCCTAAGAACAATCTTGATCCATCAAAAGAGCTTAATTCACAAACACAATTTCCTTGTAGTGACCTCCATCCATTCATCTAGCCATACTACATCTCACCAATCCATACACTTTCATCTCTTAGCCGTGCAAATCCATTCCATCCATATATCCATACACATCCTAGACACTTGTGCTACAACAAGGTGGTGAAAACAAAGGTCCTTGGCGTTTCAAGCTTGGAACTCTGGAGCGTTTTAGGTGTACTTCGTTCTTGCTTTCAATGTCTACTTTGTTATTTTCTAATTTTGTTGCAATTATGAGTGGCTAAACCCCTATTTAGTTAGGGGGAAGTTTGAAGCCATGAACATGCTTGAGATTTGAATTGATTT